ATTTTAACTCAGCTCTGCGATTCCTCAATCCAAGCCGCTATCCATTAGTCCACCGTGCCTTATATATATATATATATATATATATATATATATATATATATATATATATATATAATTATTTATTCGAAAATTATAACACAAATATGTTATAAAATCACTACAAAAATAGAGATTTACATTTGGTTTCAACACTTCTTGTGTCTTATCAAGTGATGCTGTTGAATGTAGAATAAAGTGTCTTAAAAGGTTCAAATCGACCAAATACCCCTCGCTAGCGGAAACGCTGTTACATAAGCTGCAATGACCAATCAAATGACAAGTATATATTTTCAAATTTTACATCCAAACGAAATTCTATGGCCAGATTTTATTCCCTCTTAGCGCTTATGACCTCATCCTCTTCCCATGGCCTCTTTATTTCTTTTCCCTTTTTCTGGATTCACTTCCTTTTCGTCCACCAATGACTACCTAATACATTAGATTCCCTGCCATCTCTACATATAAATTCTAGAAGAGATTTTAAGAAAATTTCCAAAGAACGGAAGTGGGGGATATTTGCTTCGATAACTGTATTTCTGAGTAAAACCTTTTAGTAACACCGTGATTTCCCACCTGATGAGACGTCTAAGAAAAAAGGTTTTCTCTTTTTTCACGTTGAAATAAAAATGTACAATTTTGTAGTGGATATGTGCATGTTCTAGTGTAACAATGCATATGATAAATAAATATTTACGGCTCTACTTCATGTATTGAACACTAAATTAATGTTTTGAACGCTGTAATCCTACTGTTCGTTCTCCTACAATTTGATATCTATCTATCTATCTATCTATCTATCTATCTATCTATCTATATATATATATATATATATATATATATGGATGGACACTCCCGTCGTTTTCGACGGATGTCTTTCAGTTCAGTTTTTTATGTTTATATCTCGCACGGTATTTGCAAACAAGTCCATACGAGGGCCATGCTGAAGCGTTGAGCGTCATATGGGCTGATGTATATTAGCCGGAGATTTAGTATTAATTCATAATTCGCTCAGATGCCTGAGACGATTCTTTTCAAAGTTAGTTACACCTCGGTAGTAGGTGTTTCTCCAGTTTGCTCGGTTTGCAACAGCGAGTTCGAACCCTTTTATAGGGATGTTTGCAGCATTTAAATTGTATTTGAGTTTGTCCTTGAAGCGTAACCAAGGACGGCCGACATTACGCTTACCATGAAAAAGTTGGCTATACATGAGGATTTTTGGCACCCGATCATCACTCATTCTGATAATATAACCAGCCCATCTGAAGTGTGATTGTATCAGAAAGGATTCGATAACACCAGCGCCACCATATTTGATGAACATTTCAGTGTTAGAGATTTTGTCTTACCATGTATAACTGTATATTAAACGAAGACAGCGTTTAAGAAAAGCATCAAGTTGGTTGATACGTGTCCTGTATGGTGTCGCCGATTCTGACCCATAAAGAAGTATGGTGACAATGAATGCTCAATAGATTATCGATTTTCGTTTTCAGTGAAATTCCACGAACATCCCATAGGCGAGGCTCAAGCTTCCCAAAGGCGTTGGTTGTCTTTAATATTCGGTTAACTATTAGGTTGGTGCAAAAATAATGACGTAATAATATCGTTTTTTTTGACGTTAAAAAAAAACGTCAAAAAACGACATTATTACGTCATTATTTTTGCACCAACCTAATATCTCGTCATCCAAAGAGGTACTTGCCAATAGTAATGGGAACAATTAAGAAGATATGGGTAGGTGGTTTTTATTTTGCAATCTTGACCTGCTTAGGTATAGGCCTTGGTTGATTGATGACTTCAGTTTTCTTCATGCTTATTGTTAGTCCGAATGCGTTGCCAGCGGTGGAAAAACGATTATATTCATAAAAGAGCCACACACACACACACACACACATATATATATATATATATATATATATATATTGATGCATGTTTCATTAAATAATATACACAAGTGTTTTCTATTTATTTTATGTAAATTCTTTTTCATAACGTCTGATAAGCTTAATAACATTATCATTAAACGAAGAAAGAAAATCCCAATATTGATCCATATTTTTTAATCCACTCTAAGCTTTCGGCTTACATAAGCCATTATCACGACGCTTGAATGAAAACTCTAACATTTTTAGGCATTTAAAACAACATGCCTGGCCGCACACACAATACTTGTCGAAAACACAATTATACTTCGACATGAAAACAATAGACAAAAACTAAAAATCCTTGAAGCATTATACATCAAACAGTTGAAACCCAACCTAAACAAAATCAACAATGGGATCTCTACAAATATTCTTAAATGTCTATAATTGGTAAATAAGCCATTGGTTTATACCATACTTCTCGAATTCACTCTCGAGTGGTTATGTGTGACGTCATGAGATGCAGAGCGATTTTCACTTCTAGCGTCTTATATGCACGTCTTTATCGTTGCTAGGAAATCATCTATGTAAACAATGACAGACTATCATCAAAGTCTTGTCCGTATATTGCTTAATATGTTGTACATTAATTGACATCTTTGATAATGGCTTATGTAAGCCGAAAGCTTAGATTGGATTAAAAAATATGGATCAATATTGTGATTTTCTTTCTTCGTTTAATGATAATGTTATTAAGCTTATCAGACGTTATGAAAAGAATTTACATAAAATAAATAGACAACACTTGTCTATATTATTTAATGAAACATATATATATATATATATATATATATATATATATATACTGCTACTGCTCATAATGCGAAGCTCTTCTATGAATTGAGCACTCTGAGTCACTGGCGTGTTTATTCAAAAATAAATACCGAAAAGTTCACCTTCTTCTCTGCCGGGAGCTTATAGGGAAGAAAAATCTCCGACTGATGTCAAATGTGTCAGGTTTCTAACCTGGCTTGAAGCAATCGGATGTCTAGCCACACTGATGAGCTGTGATACAGCGAAACAGTCTGTCTATAGATGCATATATATATATATATATATATATATATATATATATATATATATATATATATATATATATATATTCGAAATTATAACATAAATATGTTATAAAATCACTACAAAAATAACCGTTTTATTTCAACTCTTCTGTGTCTTATCCACACCATCACTTGAGAAGACACCAGAAGTGTTGAAACAAAAATGCCTATTTTTGTAGTAGTTTTTATAACATATTTATGTTATAATTTTCGAATAAATAATTGTATTTGCTAATCCTATTTGTTGGTTATAGGAATTTACTGCGTATACACCAATACTATACTTATATATATATATATATATATATATATATATATATATATATATATATATATATATATATATGTGTGTGTGTGTGTGTGTGTGTGTGTGTGTGATTAGAAGGAAGAGTCCGTGTGTGCTTGTTATAGTATGTAAAATAGATATGT